AAAACCATTTGATAACCATCTGACTTTGTTTATAATAACCAATAAAGTTCTGCCTTATCTGCTCTTGCTAAGTACATTTGGACACATTTTAAAATCCATCACCTTTTTTGTTCAACAGAACGCCCACACATCCTCTTTATTGATACTTCGCAGTGACATCATGGCGGGGGTGAGCTACATACATGCCTATGATGAAATGTTTATCAGCTGCCATGCACCCATTAGCAAACAAGACTAAAAACTTTTAAGACAGTCTGAAAACTCAAGAAAAAAATACATAATGACTTTAAACAACACATTTTCAGGAGCCTGTGTTCAATACAAGCGTTCATGGTCCTGTTAAGGTTTTTCATTTCATTCACAAACTGAAAAACTGTTGGCTTGTAAGTGTAATTTTATCTGAAATGGACTTGTTTAACAGCACAAATCTGTTCTAGTTCCAACTAAGTGAGTTATTTATGGTCAGATTGTATTGAAATAAAGCTCAGAATAAAGTCTAATTAAGCCTAAAACAGAACATGCCTAGAGTTAGCATTACACCCCAAGGGAATGTCTATAATCTCAGCTGCAAAGAATCAACACCAAATATTTCACTACACACTTTATGCAGTATAGATTTACTGAATAACTTCATACTATCTGGCTGATCAAGTGACAAACTAGAACTGTGAGGGTTGTTAGTTTTTCAATTGCGCTTATTACAATAATGTGCAGCAAAGGAGCATAAGGTCAAAAGTATAATCTCAAGGCCAGTGAAGTGAACATTTCCTGAGTAGTCATTAAATCAGCAGTTATTGTATGTACTCCAGTAACAGGTCAGTATAGAATTACAGATCACGACCTCTGTTCCCTTCACAACTATCCATTTCTGTAATTATCATACCAGACCACCAACAACCACAGCCCAACCTGACAGCTGACCCCCGAAATCGTCTCATCTCCTTCACTTGGGAGATTTATAAACCATTTGGCGAATCAAGGCCACTATCTGACAACATCACTGTTATTAAGTTCATGTATGAAAACCATAAAAGGTGTGGGCTACATGGTCACTGGCACATCATTATGTTTCACTTCAACCATGACCCCCGGGAAGGCCAAAGCTCGCAGGTGGTGTGTGTCTGCTGTAGACTCAATCTCATGATATTCTAATAAAACTGAGATCAGCCCAGTTTATGAATGTAGTAATATTTTAAACAAATTGTAATATTGATAGTTTTCAATTTAGCACTTTTTAAATAAGACATGTTATGCTTTCTTTTATTCTTAATTGTCTTAATAATAGAGACATGTTGACTTCCAAATTGATGTTGTATTAATAATCCTTGCTTCTTCATAGTGGCATTTCACTACAGTTTATAATATATATATTTTTTATCCTACATTGAGTGCGACTTTTTTGAATGATCATAAGTAAGTGCAGAGGAGTGAGAGGAAATAGGGGGTAGGTGAAAAAAGAAATTATTAGCACACTTAAGCCTCAAATGTAGGCGAATACATAAACAAGCACACGTCTGAGATTTACAGAAACTCTATGTAAGCTGATACATTTGTTATAACATGGTTTAAAGCTCATAAAAGTTGCATTTATATATGTTCACTTTGTCCATTACTTTGCCTGCATTTACATGTGTTTTGGGGTATGATTTGATTGTATATATTTTAACTGGGAGTTTCTATGAGTAATTTGTCATCGAAAACATATTGTAATTGTAATTTAATGACAGCAGCTGCACTCTGTTAAGCCCAGTTGTAGAAGCCATAGGCTCTAACATCTCTTTATTCTTTATATAAATAAAAATCAAACTAACACACGCTTATCGGTGACAGTATTTAGAGTGTAAAGACAGCCGTATTCATTTGATGGAGTATTTTCTGACATGAGCAGTATGGATCCCTGGCTCACGGACAAGCAGCAGCAGAGATATGAGCTGGCGCGTGTTGTGTGTGATGGGCTGTTTGTCTCCATGGAAACAGGGCTATGACTTCGTCCCCTGATTGTGAGATAGAGTCACTTTGAATCCGGGGCGAGTTAAGGTGATTTAAAGAGAGTGGACGACTGTGTTTGGAAGTGCAACAGAAAACAAGACTTAATCCATGGAGACTTGAGGCCATTAAAGCGTTCAGATGACAAAGAGATAGAAGCTTGTTTAGACAATAGGCCTACAGTGGATCAGATGGCGCTGCATTCACTTCATCACTGACTTATTGTATTCAAGTATTGAAATTTGGATTTAAATGTATATAACTAGAAGAATATTAAGGTTTACAAATAGCCATGAATTGTAATAACACTATTAACCCCAGTGCTACTCTCGCTATACTTGCCCTATACTTAGACTAATAGTTTGTAGCAGTGATTTAGTAAAATTGTCTAACAAAGGATTAAAACTATATACCTACCAATATTATAGCCTAGTTAATATTACATGTTTTTAATTCTAGATGGTTTAGTAATTACAAACAAGAGTAGGCCCATATAAATAATAAAAATATAATTTCAAAAGAAAATTGAATTTGTTCTGTGGCAGACTGGTAGTAGTAGGCTACATAATTTACTGAATGTACAGAAGTCAGTGTGAGTGGAAAAATAAGTCACTATTACAAGCTCATAGATATCTGTTGCTATAAATACACAAGACTGAATCTATTTCTGAAACCAGCCTATATCTTATTACATGGTGCATTGATTGTGGCTACCGATGACTTGCCAGATCAGGTATTCCCAATCTTAATAAAGCCCAGTAAAGGCTGCATGTTTAAATATAGGCCTTCTTCAAGTGTTATATATTATTTATTTGACCTTCCTGTATGGTTTCTTTCATCTGCAGATAGATGAAAATGAAACAAAACGCAATAATACTTTCTAACCTCCAAACAGCAGCAAGGATGGGAGACAGAGGAGCCAAGGTCACGGTCTATTGTTAGCTCAAGACACAAGATAGGCTCATTGTCCATGCTAAAAATAGCTCAATTGGACTTTATTACATTTATTTTTTGACATTTATATTAACCGTGGCTGACACAGTGCAGTAGATCAGATCTGTTCCTTTGATCTGATTTCACATTTATAACGAAATTGTATGTTATTTTTGAGTCAGAGATCACGTCGTCAGAAAAAAAAAAAAAAAAAAGTAGTAGTAGACTGTCCCCTGGTGGAGGTTTTACGCATTGTCGTGAAACAAAAAACATAATGAAACTCTGTAGGACTTGTGTATTTAAGGCTACACAGTATAGGCTAAGTCCCAGAATATTACATTCTCATTGGTGCCTTATTTGGTGGGGATGTGGACATATTTAAATTCCCTAACTGAAGACTTTTTCCTTCAAGGTTTACTTGTACAGGAGCACAAAGGTCGACGCGGAGGGGGAATAGTGTGCTTCTGCCATCTGGTGGAGATTACGCGCCAACAACCAAATAAATTGGGCTACAATTTTATTTTTATTTATTAAATGTTTTCAGTTATTGTGGCTTATATTCTAAAATTGGTCAGACATTTGGCAAATCGTTTGCACAAATTGCAAAACTAGCCCTTGGTTCAAAACATTTCAGACCTATCACAATTGTGTAAAAATGTCACTTCATGTCTGCATACACAGGCCACTATCTCCTAAACGCCATTAAGTCACCTGGACCGGTATCAAACAGCTCGCACTTGGTTTCAGTCTCAGTTATAGGTTTTTACTACACTGCCCTTTTACCTGGTTTCTGCTCCTGCACTTCTGATTAATCTAGAATCAGATCTGAGACTCCATTTTTATGTTTTGTCTCCTGGATCTTTCCAGTCTAGTTAAGTCAGCGAAACCTTTAAGGGTCTGATCTGATCAATATGTTTAAAACTTAAGATATAGTACTTCAAATAGTTTTTGATTTTATTTAAGAGTTTTGAAATAAAACAGCCAGTTCCAAGTAGCAAGTTCTGGAATATGAGTCAAAACTAATAACAGCAAAAAATAAAATAAATAAAATAAAATAAAATAAAATAAAATAAATAAATAAATAAAATAAATAAATAACATGTACAAGTAAATTGTATTTTGTATATGGAATGTAGTAATTATTCACTATTCACCGATCTTACATCTTGAATGCAAACAGTCATAGTTTCATGCAGTGTTTGTGTTATAAAGAGTTTAAACATTTGCCACTGAAGTGTAGCTCGGTACAATGGTCATTGATGTCATGTTTTTTGATAAGAAACAACAAACTGTAAGTGGTAACTATATAATATGAGGCTGACTTCTTTTCTCTAACCCTACAGTAATCTGGCTCAGCCTAAACAAATTCTTCCTAAAATATACAGGAAGGTATTTTTAGAACTGTTAAAAAAGACACAGTTATGTCGACTCTTGTATGACTTTATTTCATTCACCAGATTAAAAAAGAATTGCAGACCACACCCTCAGTCATAAGTGTGTTCTCTTCTTTAAAACATGTTTTATCTCAGACATGTTTTCTTGTGCAGTGTTGAAAAGAATCAGTCAAATGCTCTCTGAGGAGCTCCCTGTGTTTTACAGTGTACAGCAAGGCAGTGTAGTGTCAGATATTTGTAAGGCTGTTAATAAGAGTGCATTGTAAACCAACATGAAATGTGAGATTGATTTGTGAACTGTAAAGTGTCTTGTTTAATTCATTTAATTAATTAGGGTGCTAAAAATGGCCCAAATAAAAGCAATAACATTATTAAAATAATAACAACTTATCTGCAGTGATCTCTTAAGTACCACAGACATGCCATCCGCCCTGAAACAGTGCAGACAACTGCGGCTCTAATCTAATCTGGCCTCCAATGAGGATTGTCAGGGAGAGGGGATACACTTCCACCTGGACCAGGAATCCTCCAGCGATAGTCTGAATGTCCAGGGGATCAAGGGATTAGCTGAAGGCAGCGTCCACATGTGTTTACAGACCCAAGTGTGGGCAAACCTCTCTGTGCTTCACATTATTTTTGATATTTTCTGAATAAAATACAACCAAATATAAAATATGACATCACATATTTGGATGCAGCCATGTTACATCTCAAGAATACATTTTGATTTCCTTATACATTAACATAACATCCAACCTCAGAATCATTGCCTGCTTAATATTACTGGATCATTTGAAGTAATTAAATAATTATGAGTAGTAAAAACTAATAATACAAATCTCCTTTTTCAGTGCAGTGTAAACATATCCAACACCAGTGCTTGCATTCAGTCTAAAGCTTTCTCTGTCTTTGTGTATTAGTCATATGTGGTCAGTTGGAGGAACGAATCCTCCGGCCTTTCAGAGGCTGAGGAGGCCTGAAGTTGTTCTCCATTCGTAACCTCTGGTCCTCTTCCTCTCCAGTGAACAGCAGCAATCTAAATTTGCCCAGCTGTTCAAGAAAAAAATGTATTCATTAAAACATTTTATTTTTATTTTCATTTCAACCTGTTTTATCCTGTTTTAAAGGAACAATACTACTAACACCCACAAAAACAAAGGTACTTGAATGATACAGTACTACTGTGTATTATGTTACATGGTAGTGAAAAACAAATTAGTGGTAGTTATATAAGAGCCTTTCCCTGCTGTGTCTCTACACAGGCATTTCTCAATTAAAGCCCTGCACCATCCAGTCATTCATCCATCAGGATCATCAGCTGAAGCAGATCAAAGGCTCCAGTCGTGGACTCCAAGGTTGTGGGGCCCGATGCGTGACTTGTACCCACCCCCAACAATGCTACGGATGTCTCTTCACACACTAACTTCATGCCTGCACACATGGGTGATGCTATCACTGAAACTCCATACTTCACTTGGGAGTTAAAGCGTGGAGCTCAACTAGTAAAGATCAACAAAGTGTAAGAGCATAATCCAGCGGCTGGCAGCCGTCGCCACTCTGCCGAGGGCCGAGGGAGGCATCCAGTTAGTCAGCTTAACTTGTCAACAGTATACATTTTGAGACAGGCTCTTTTGAATTTGAATTTAGCAAGGCTACCAAGAAAAAGCATCATGTAACCCATGTTGACCTATATTTACTAGTATTTATATTTAAGAAAATAAAATTCAGTTGTGTATTGTGTTACGGGTAAGAGGTCACTGGTTCTCATACCATTCAAAGCTACATGCAAAACAGTGAGAGCGGAAAAAACCTCTTAAATAAAAAATAATAATAATAATAATTTTCCTAATATCCATTTGAAAATGCATCTAACAAGTTCACCAATGCATAAAATGTTGCAGTAAGTGATCTGCAAAGATCATATCTCTTCATATCACTACATGTACCTTGTAGTAACTGGCAGAAATGATTACTGTAATAAAATATAAACTAGCTGAACTAACTGTACAATATAACCAAATGGTTAACAAGCTCACCTGCTTTTCTGATACAGCAATTGGTTCTTTAAGCAATATCCAAGTTACACTTTCATGGAGTGGAGGTGTGGTCAGAGATCCCAGATAGGTCCAGTAGTGGAGGCTGCTCGGTAAAAGGCACTTTGGATTGAAACCCTTGAAGTCTGTTACACTGCCCTAAAAGAGAGAAAAGTTTATTATTTACTTAAACATTACATCTGTTAATTCTTACTGACTGCACTAACCTTATACTTCACCATGTACATTGCATCTGTAATTGTGTGAAGCCACCTGTGGTCATCACCTGTCTTATGTAACAGACAAACATGCACAAAGCATGGTTTTGATTTAGTCAAATGTAAAACACACAAATACAGAAAAAGTAACTAGACACATTTTATAATGAATTATGTTAATTGCTTTCCTAATAAACCATTATGTCATTCTGTAGTTATTTATATTGGTTAATTGAGCATGTCTTACTTCTAAAAAAATGCCAATAACAGCAAGTCCATCCGGAGCTGTAGCAGCGTGATCAAATGACTTGTACTTGACAGCGTTCCAGTGCACCAAATGAAGCTAGAACAGGAAAGGATTCATCAGTGGGTCCAATCATTATATAAAGTATACTATATCACAGATTCAGGACCAGCTTTGATCAAATATAAGGTTTTGAATAATAGTCTTGTTTCCTTGATAAATGAAATACATTTGTTAAGCAAATGTGGGTAGAAAAGTGCTTAAATGACAATCAATGACAGTTAAGAAACATTTTAATTACTGTACTATTGGGGATATACACACCACTGACCTCAGATGCATAGCTATTTCCTGCGACCGTGTGCTCAGAGCCATCACATCCCTTTCCACCCCAGTGGAAGTGAAACTGTCTGAGCCTATAGGGGTTTTCAAGGGGGCCTCCATGGATCACTGTAGGAGATGACACAGAGGATGTAGAAAGGTTTACTGGCCTTGTTGGTGATAGAAATACATTTGACCAAGGCTTTATGATACATGAAGGTGTTGATCCAATTCTTATTTTAAATTCAGAAGTCACACATAAACAAACATGCATATGTCCTTGTAGTAGCACCTCACAGAGTTGAATGTCTCTGTCTGTAAAAGTGTACTTTCTATTTTAAGTTGCACATCAATCTATCATTTTTTTGTGTCCTAAACCTAGGCTTTAGTTTGACCCACAAATACCAACAGTCAAAGCCTTCACACAATTATGAACACCAAAACAACATGGCATATGACCAACTAAATACATAAATGTAATGTAAAACACAATTTTTGTTCAATACATACAGTTTAGCTTGGTTCTTATATGGGTGTTGTTAACAACCGTATATCAAGTCTGACAGTACAAAGTCCAAAGTAATGCTTTGATCTCTCGGCAGGGAGGCGTGACAATACAGAAAAAGTTCTTTAACAAAAAAACAAAAAAACAAAACATTTAAATGCAAACTGCAATTGCAATATATACCAGTAACGGTGTGTTTCCTAGAGAAGACACTGTATTTGCTAGTAACACTAGCCCATGCTAATAATGGAAAATTGTAAATTGTATATGTGAAATACAATGGTTAAAGGTGAGTGTGCTGTTAAAAGTGAGCCTTGAGATAATGCATGGTATCTGAATATATTATCTATTACTGATAAGCTACTCTTTGTATTTAAGTCTGGTAACAATTCATACATTATGGCCATGCTGCTTTGATATGTCATCTGACAATACATAACATATGTAACTTTCTGGTGACATGCTCACCACCTGCTTGTCTCCATAGAGATGCTATTGCTTTGTCCAGAATGCTCCACAGTATGTCATTAAACTTCTCTATCTCCATGGAGACAAGCAGATGACACCATTAGGACAAGCAACAGGTTAAACCTCTGCCACTCACTATACCTTTTGGGCATTTTTGACTAATAAAAACACCTGTATCTAACAAAATTTTAAATGGAGCACATTTTAAACTGTGATATCAGTGGCAACACTGTCCCTTGTTCATTTACAGTGAAAGCTACTAGATAATATGATATGATATGATACATTACACTGGCTTTATCATTGGTGGTAATAGCAGGGTGGTAAGCATGGAACCACCCAGTTATAAAAGCTAATAGGGTCATAATAAGCATTAAGATCATTTCAGGTTATTATGACTCTTGTCCACTAGACAGCGTCTCATACTTTTAAGTGTTAGCTACATTTCCCTGCAGTACAAACAGGGTGTTATTTAACCATAGATTACAGCCAATTTTGTAAAAGGCTTGCACTTTCTAAAGCCACAAGGTAATCCACTCAAAATAAGATGAAACATTAATGTTCCTCAAAGCAACTATCATAGCTGAGATTATGGGTGAACTTTGTACACACATAATACACTCATGTATGTTTAGTGATTTTAGTTCTGTGTACATTTGTTACCAGTTTGATGCATAATTTCACCACCCAAATAGCATTAATAAAGTTAAATAGAACCCATAATTAAAATAATAATAATAATGATAACAACAATAATAATAACAATACTAATAAAGCCTTGTATTACCAGATCGGTCATCTGTGTCATCAAAGTTCACCACTACTGAATGTCCATTGTTGGAGATGTTGATGGAGGTACAGTGATCATAGTCGAGCATTATCGGGCCTAAGCTTGGGTCATGTGAAACTTGGCGGGGGATGTCAATGGGAGACTGACGGCTGCCCAGAGCCACTGGGTAGTTTTTATGCCATACATCTGGACCTATAAAGAGAAATGTTTATCAGATTATCAAATTTAATCAATTACAAGTGATTAAAAGTAATTAATTGACATACTAATTTAATTGTATATACTGGATAAAAAACCGCACAGCATTTTCTTTTCTTTTTTCTTTCTTTCTTTCTTTTTTTTTTAACTAATCTCTTTACACTGACAACTATAAGTGACCACACAATCCTTTAAGCAATAGGTAATCTGGCATTAGTTCAATGAAAGCCTCCTACTTTCTATTTGCTCGTAGGCGTAACTTGTCCAGAGAGAAAACTAGAATAGTCAAAATATAATTTACCGTTCTCTTGCCCATACCCCCAGTGGTTCCCTTTCATGGTCACGCTGGAGATCACAAAGTGGAGATCACAAAGGTCCCTGGACCAGTGAGCTGCTCCTAATGAAGCTCAGCAGGCGGCCGAAAGGGAAGGGCAATTATCCGCCTTGACACGCCTCCCACGCGCTCAGAACCCAGAACCAAAACAAGGCACCCAGACAGCATCAGCACAACTTTTTTTTTTTTTTTTTTTTTTTTTTTTTTTTTTTTTTTAGATATTTGGAAAAGTATTACATACATGGGCAACAATATTTTAGGATATATGCCTATATCTGTATGGAAGGCTTTGGCTATTTGTCAGGCTGCATTTTATCACATTAATTTAGGTAATAATATTAGCAATATTTTAATAAATTAGGTGAACTTCTTGTTCGGTCAATATTTATATTGTTTTACCCTGTCACATGTCCCTTTACGTCTCCAATGCAGTCTATGAGCCTGAAATATCTGAAATCTTTTCCAAAATGATTTTGAGTTTAACTGTCTTTGCCACAAATTATAGATCTTTGCATTAAACCGTGCACCTGCAGCCATTACGCGTCCATATAGCACCCTCTAATGGTGTTTCCTGGTGATACACTAAAAGAAACTACTCAGTATTTTTTTTCATCCATCAAACTGCTTTATAATGAATCATGGGAATGTATTAAAACGGTTTAATTTTTTTCATATAACGTATTCTTAACATCAAGATGCACAGATGTCACAAAGTCACGGGTTTTGTGTCGAAAGTGCGAATGCTGCGTAACACTGCTCTCTAGGTTTTCTTTGGAATCTGCTGCTTCGTATGTTGATATAGTTCTCCAGACTGCTGAAAAAGCAGCCTTAATGCTACTATGGCATCCACTAAAGCTTCAAAAGAGCAGAAATACGACAGGCAATTGAGGTAAAAGCACAGTGCAATTTATGCTCCAGGGCTCCACGACACAAGACAGCACAAAATACAACTAGATCTCCACCTAGCTCACTTGCTATTTGCGTATTTGTAATGCTAACAAGCTAACGCTGCTCAATGGTAATATATTTATAATGTGACAATAATAATAATAATAATGGCCAAATAATTCCCCTTTATTAGTTACTGTGTACTGTTTTGCCTTTGTGATGTTCAAACGTGGCAGGTTATCCATTCGAATTTAGGACTGTGTGAAGAGGATGCTACACTTTAGCAATGTCCCTCCAGCCTAAATGCTAATACTCATTCATTCTTAATGCCACTGTCAATGCTGTTTCCAGATTATGGGGAGACCACGGCCAGGAGGCATTGGAAAGTGCTCACGTCTGCCTCATAAATGCCACAGCAACAGGGACAGAGATACTAAAAAACCTGGTTCTTCCTGGTAAGGACTCTATAAGTTCACTCATTACTATTGTGCTGTTATTACATTGCAGTGATCACACTCTGTAATGATGCAGGCATTGGAGCGTTCACAATAGTTGATGGGCATACTGTTACTGGAGAAGATATTGGAAATAAGTAAAGCTGCACCAGGCCACAAAAAATGTATATTTACTGTGTTTATGAGAGTATTAATGTTGGTTTTGTCTTTCAGCTTTTTCTTGAGTATAAATCACATTGGGAAGGTAAGCTAAGATGTCATTCATGACAACACCGTCGCATTATAAAAGTAGGTGAAGCGTCTCCTTGTCTGTTTATAGAACAGAGCACATGCTGCCACTGAGCTTCTTCAGGAACTCAACAGTGACGTTTCAGGAAACTTTGTTGAAGAGGTTTGGATCTTAAGTGTGTAAATAATTCATATTTAAGATTATCACACAATTGGTAACTGCTTTTTATTTGTGATTCTTCGTCAGAGTCCTGAGAATCTCTTGGAAAACAATCCTGAGTTTTTCCACAGATTTACTGTTGTCATTGGTGTCCAGTTACCAGAAAAGTATGCCTTATTTACTTTTACTCAGTGGTAAACATGTTGCTCCTGTATCCTACTCTTATTTTTGTTTCTATGTTAAGCACATGCTTGCGGCTCGGCTCTGTTCTTTGGAGTGCCTCTGTCCCTTTTCTCATCTGTAAAACATACGGGCTCATTGGCTACATGAGGCTAGTGGTAGAGGAGCATACAGGTAGATAAAGATTTTAATAGTTACTAGTTTAATTTTATGTAATTTCAGTGAACTATTATATTTTATTTACATGATTTTTCATTTTCATTTTTAGTGATTGAGTCGCACCCAGACAATGCCTTGGAGGACTTACGATTAGATCAGCCTTTTGATGAACTGACAAATCACATTGCTTCTTATGACTTAGAAAGCATGGACAAAAAGGTTCCACCATCAACAGCATTGACAATTTATTCTTATTGTTGGGTTATTTCACATTTTCTTGTACATTTTTTAGGATCACAGTCACACTCCTTGGGTTATTATTGTCGCCAAATATCTAGAAAAATGGCTTAGTGAGGTAATAATAACATGCACTTTAATATATGTTTGCCATTTACTTTAATCTCAAATTGTCTTGCTCCTTTGTAGTATAATGGTCAGTTACCAAAGACGTATCGTGAGAAAGAGGCCTTCAGACAATGTATACGGGAAGGTATTCTCCTATAGCATTGTTGTGCAAATACAATACATTCTACATTATTGTGCTTTTAATACTGTTCCCATGTAATTCAGGTATCAGAAGAAATGAGAATGGTGTCCCAGAGGATGAAGAAAACTTTGATGAAGCTATAAAAAATGTCAATACTGCTTTAAATCCAACTAAGGTGATTTTATATTTATGAATGAATTTATATTTATATATAATATTATGAACGATTTATTTTTATTTTATATTTATTTAGTATTTCTACAAATTACTTCATATAATTTAAGATAACACTGCCTTTTTAGATTCCAACTGCTGTTCAGGATCTCTTCAACAGTGAACAATGCAACCACATCACTGATCAGGTTCTCATTTTAAAGTTTTCATTATGTTGGTTTGTACTGTTGTTTGTAATTATGCTCATCTTTCTATATGGACAGTCCTCTCCCTTTTGGGTGATGCTGCGTGCTGTCAAAGAGTTTGTTCACAACGAAGGCAATGGCAATTTACCTGTCCGAGGCACAATACCAGATATGATAGCAGACTCACAGAAATTTATTAACCTACAAAACATGTAAGTCCTTTTCTGAATAAGAAATATTCCAGTTCTTCATCTTTAACCCTTGCATGTACAGTATCATTTAGTGATGTTCATATTTATTATGTGATTTTACAGTTACAGACAAAAGGCTATGCAGGATGCAGCAGCTGTTTCAAAACATGTGGAGAGTTTAATTCAATCCACTGAACTGGTGTGCTTGTAAATTGTTTTGCAAGTTTATTGTAGTAAAATCTAGTATTTACTATATTTTTCTTTTGAAATAGGCACCAGAAAGCATATCTGAAAAGGACATCAAACTGTTTTGTAAGTACCTCTTATGTAAAGTACTTTGAGATCTGCGGTTTTAGGTTTGTCTCTTAGTATGTTAGTACGTTATACAAATTCTCTTTTCTTTGTACATTAGGCAAACATGCGACCTTTTTGAGGGTGGTGCGCTGCAGGTCCTTGGCTGATGAATACAGTGTGGATTCACAAAATAAAGATGAAATAAGTATGATTACATCTTTGAATTACATCATCTGAGATTTTACTTTCTATGAGAGGTTAAATGGGTGTTTTTTTGTTTTGTTTTTTTTCAGCATCAGCCATGGACAGTCCAGACAGTGAGATGGTTTTCTACCTCATGCTGCGTGCTGTGGACCGCTTCTTTCAGCAGCATTCACGCTACCCAGGTAAAGAAGAAGAATACAAGAATTTAATTTATTGTCTTTGAAAAAAATAAAATCACGTTTAACTGTTGTCCACAAGATGGCAGTCTTAGCTCTTCTTAGGGAATTGCAATTGGCGAGCTTGAGGAACTCCTCTCTCTACTTACTCATTTTATATCTACTTTATTGATTTATTTTTTGTCTTACTCATTAGGAGTGTATAACTACCAAGTGGAAGAGGATATCAGCAAACTGAAGCTGTGTGTGACTGGACTTCTACAGGAATACAACCTCAGCATCAATATCAAGGATGATTATGTCCATGAGTTGTAAGCACTATTTCCATCAAATACAAGTTTATGTCCAGAATTATGTCTTAAGTACATCATATAATGCTTTATTTGTTTCTGAATGATTTGCCAATAACTTTTTCACGGTTTGTTTAGCTGCCGTTATGGTGCCACGGAACCACACACAGTTGCTGCATTCATGGGAGGTAAAGGCCCACATTATACACATTATGCAATACTTCTTAATAGTTTACTAATGAATTTCTATTTTCTTTAGGGGCTGCAGCACAAGAGGTCATCAAACTCATTACCCACCAGTTTGTGCCCTTTAGCAACACTTACATCTACAATGCCATGTCTCAGACCTCTGCCACCTTACAGCTCTGAACAGTGAGGTATATTGGTTTTCAACAGTAACTTATTTCATTGATTATCAACACTATGACGGAGCATATGAGTCAAAATGGATCTTTCATTACACTCAGTATTGTGCACTTAATTGTAAAAGTCAGTGGTAATAAATCAGTAAGTGTTTTGTCAATAATATTGTAAATCTAAACTGGCTAAACTATGTTAAACTGTAGTATTTTTATTTGTCACTGTCCAGTAAGTTACAGTATGTAGCACTTAATACAAAAATACTTTCTTGGTTTGTATTGGCAGGAATGATGCTGATCTTTTTCTATTACAATAAATAAGTCACTGTTGTAATAAAATCTTCTCTTAATGTTAACATATGATGCTGTTGTGTGTCCCATCAGAGAGTTGGTATAAGATACTCACTGGCAGCATCTGATAGGCTTTGAGGTAAGCTTATGTGATTTGATAAGTGAAACAAGGTTTACACAGTTATCTTGTCTAAATAAATGTTACATGACAACCATGTGAGCTTCCTGGGAGGCCTGCAATGTGACTTATCCTCTGGCTGTCTTCAGGTTAGGATCAGAGCCCACACTTTGGACATGTTTGTTTCTTCAACATTAGGGGGCACTATGCTTCATACAATTTGGAACTAGAACATTTTCTCAAATACTGTTGGTAAACAAATAGGGAACTTTCTCTGTAAGATTTATGTGCAAGAGCTAATCAAATGCATATCTCTGTTAATATAATATGGGAAAACAGCGAGCATTGTCATAACATTATTTTGTTTTTCACTCATTAGTGTCAAGTACCCATGACTATCTGTGTATGGAAACATGAATGGTTCCCATGAACAGCATTGACAATTTGGGAAGTCATTGTGTCATTTGTTATAATGCCCTGTAATAATCTTAACTGTTAGCTTAAAATTAAAATGCCTTCCTTTTTTATGATGCACAAAAAGACTTAAACATCCAAAAGCAATTAAAGTGCAGTGCTAATGCCCTGTTAGTGTTACTTACTGAATTACTCTGACACTGAAAAGACAAAATCCTGCTCAGAGCTGTGATTTGTGTTGCTGTACAGCTGTGTACAGCTGTGTAAACATCTTAAGTCAAAACAGACAGCCTGCCCATCCACATATTGCACAAATGCTGTTGATCTCAATCTGACATTTCAATTATTTTAGCCTATGTTTATTACTACTTGCATCAATTACATCGTGCAGTATTTTATGTCTTGATGCTCTTTTTGGTATTGGGAGTACATGTATATTTTTCATGTACCAAACTGTCTCTGTTTACAGAGCCCAATGTTATTCCATGAAGGCAGGACATAACTGTCATGCTGAGACTTGCCAGATTACATGACATTCATTTCAGTCACCACACTGCACATGCAACACTATTTTTGATACGCTCCCTTATGAAGCCTTCTCAGTAGTGCAATTATCTGTCATTAGTACACCTAAAATACTATTTGTAGAACTTCTCTTCAAGTAAATATGTTTGCCAAAAGTAGGTTGGATAATGAACAATACTTTCTATGGATTTACTGATTAAGACTAAAACACTGTTTAACAACATTACAATTTCAGGTGCTCACAGTGACTTCACCTGTCATATCAATTTACAGCCCAAACAAAGTGAAATGAGCTGAATGTTTGCAAATGAATCAATGACTTCAAATACCCGCCCTCCAGCTGCACTGTTGCACCCTTATTATCAATACTTCAGTTTACTGGCTCTGCTCACAGCGGCGTTATCTTAAAGCCACAGGAGAGGTCTGACAAAGGGTGCGTGTGTGTTCTCACCGTGAGGGGGCTGTGGGGGTGGGGCAGTCGTTAATGCTAAAATCAATCAGTAAATCAGAAGGCTGCCTGCACAAGAGCCTCACTGCACAGATTCTTACTGTAGCTCTGTGCAATAAAGGGGGGAGGGGTGTGTATGAGTCAGCGCCAGAAAAAAGCAGAGTAAGGTGACAGATTGGTGGTCATATCCACTCAGAGGTTACATTCTAAAGTGTTCTCCTGGATCCTCTTTGCTACGGCTGGAAGAACATAATCTAAAAACAGGTCAGCATGAAACCGTTGAAACAGCAGGTACTGACTGTAACATAAAGGTTGAATAAGATGTCTCCTGATAGCTCATGGCTCTCATTTGGGCCATTTACTTGGCCTTGGTCCAAAGAGTCCAGGTCTCACCTCCTCCCTAGGCAGGCTGAATTAAAAGCGGCTTGCCAAAGCATAGCTGAGTATTTAGTGTTTTCTGAGTCTGCGGGAGGGCAGCATACTTCAGTCCTTTGGGGTCCACACAGGGCTGCATTATTCTCCCTGCAAACAGATGTGATGAATACACATATGGACACTTATGGAAATGGCATCACAAAGGGTCTTCACTTTAATATTGAGTATTTTAGTAGGTGAAGAATCTGCAGTGTATTGCATATCTGCATATTTCTGCTCTGGTGGTCTTTACCTGACTTTAATTTGATTTAATAGACCACTCTGGTACACACCTCGGTTGGTTTACTGTGTGCACAATCCAGAAAACCCACAACAATGCAGTTTTAGCTGGTTAGACCCTTGCAAGGTGGAGCGACCAGGCCTAAATGGTTTTATTTGTTCCAGATGTCCTGCTATTGAGCACACACAGTTGCACACAAGATACTTGAAGAGTCAGTGCACAAAATACCCTGATTATCAGTGCCAGTGCATACTGCATACACATACCATATATTTACTGTATACATGTAGGCCCTATAGTGCATGACATCCATAAGTGAAAAATGAGAAGTTGTCCATGGAGCATGTCTGTACTGGCAAACCGGCAAACCAGCACAACAGTGCAGTTTACATATCAGAGTTGTGGGATTCACCATACTAAATGCCAGGCAATACATTGGAAAATAGTGTTTGTTTATGGAGTTCTACAGTCTTTATAATTACTGAGGAAACTAGGAAGAGGAGTACACATTCCAATAATAACTACCTTGAAGGCATGTTTTTATTGCACATATAATACATTGTCAATTAGCTGATTTACAATTGATCCATAAAGGGCCATGAGCCACTGTTTGTGTCAGCCAGCCTTGAATCATTAGAGAGAGTTGCACAGGGAAGGACATATGGTGCAAAAAATAAATAAAATATCTCAATGAATATGCAAATCACTGGACACTCCGTTATAGCTATCTTATATGTTGTCCTCAGAGTGAACATATGAAGGAAAGAAAGTTTTGTTGTACCTTTTAGGTAAGCTGTGATGTGGAGTCTTGGGCTGTGCTACAGTATACAGTTTTATTGTGATTTTAAACCTCACTGCTGACGGCATTGGCCATCTTGTGTGTTTGCAATGTTTTATTGTGGTAATGCCTGCCCCTGGGACAAGCGATCTATACACTTTCTGTTCATATAATCTCCCTCTCATCTCTCCATCTTGATTTGTGTTCCATTAGCGCAGGGCCTTTGGAGAGACTGTAAGTCAGCATCACCATATGGGGTCAGCACTTCAGCGTTCACTCTAGCCCTCAGATCATGTTACACACATCTGAACCTATGCACAAAACATCCAGGGAGGAGAACAGCTACAGGCGGCACAAATCTGCAGAGGAGGTACTGCAAATCTTTCTAGACTCAAAATTAAACTTGAATGAACTTGAATGAACACAATGAAAGTGCTGTTGTTGCTACTTTTATGACAAATATTGCCACTTACAGTAATATTACTTCACACAGTTACTAGTGAATTCTTCAACAGCTACAACCAATCATGTTTTCTACTGTGGTCACTACATAGTTCAGAAGTAAGATTTCTGTGGATTTGTAGATATTTAGTTATGAAAGACAAATTTTAAAATCCCATTTTCCCCACGTTTTTACAAAATATGAAAGTGTTCAAGATTAATAAAAGTGATAATGGCAGAATGCAAATAACATTAATCTTCAGCTGTTCTTAAACATTTACATTTCAGATATTTGTTGCATACTTTTCTCCCCATCTGTTTGAGCAGTACATTGTGACTAAACTTGTCATACTTTTGTATGGCCTCATGAGTTTGCTCATTTCTAGCATACTTCAAAAGATGTGCTTTTGTGATCTACTAATGTACTTGTACATTCTCCAGGTGCCATTCTTATCTCTGTCACCATTTTGTTCGACTGGAATCCACTACTGCACCACAGTGTTTAGTCTTTTTATCAAACATCATACACACACCGAAATCGAAAAATCATTTCCTTTCTTCAGGACATTGTTTCCATTCCAGCATCGACAAATGTAGGTGTGTGGATGTCTTTTTAGAAACCAGAGCACAGTATTTGGCCTCATCGCGTCATAAGAGACCAATGCATGTGCTCGCTTTTGTCTTGACAAATTTCCCTCCACAGTCTTAATTAGAACCACCTGTTTTGTACGGCTGTCACATCCAAAACATAGAGACGAGGAACTATGTCAGAAATGTCTGCAGCTTTAGGGAGGTATAAGGGGCATGTTGGTAGCTGTTGTACATTTGTACTCAGGTAAGAGTACCATTTCTCCAAAATAATTTTATTTGGATAGAAATACAAAGTAGAGTAAGAGGAGAGAAAGTCCTACTCAAGTTATTTTTTGAATAACTGGATGCAACATCTGATTTATAATTTGAAATGAAAATAATGAAGGATAAAATGCTAAATATTGCCCAAAAGTCTGGTATTTTCAAAGGCTAGACCACAAAAATGAGAAAAACTATAATGTCTGAAGCAGCATTGCAAGAGACACATTTTTTGTCAGTTGAAATAGCAACCAAAGCCATTACTCAAATATGAGTACTGTTACACTGCAAGAAAAGCATTGGGTCTGAAATCTAATCAAGTACAATTTTATCTACAACATTTACTCAAGTAAATGTTTTTGACTAAATGTTACTAGGCATCTCTGCATACTAGCATTTTTTTAGCTCCTTAAGCTTTGTAGCTTGTTTGTTTCACAGTGGTATCATATATCATCTGTAATTATTGTCTATTGTTTGTTTTTGTGGTTGTTTTAATGTCTCATTGGAGGATTTTGCACATGTTTTTCCAATGTGGTTTTACAAATGGCAAATAAATTAACCTAACCTATTTTAATAATACTGTTTAGTCAAAGGACATTATATAATTTTGTCTGTGTATGAAGAATGCTGCAAGCACATGGTCCACAAAGGTGTGAGTGGGTGAGAAGGATTGCAGTCCACATGGGAGTGTTTATGAAGACGTGATGTTCAGGAGAATTCCTCAGATAAGTGACATGGCCCCCTTCTGTTCATCAGGCTGCATGAGAGTGAACAACACAGTGATCAAAATAGTGGTTTGGGTTTAAAAACAAAGGTGATTCCCACGAGTACCACCTC